TTGTCGATAATTTGCAAAGTTAACGAATCACTAATCGAATTGCTAAGTTTTGATTGGTTCACTAACTATTATACACGGCTACGTCTGTGTATATTTGTATTTCATAGCTACTAAAAATAACACATCTTTGGCGTATGTACACACACTCTCATAAGTATTTGCTAACCGACATTTTTGCCAATTGAAATATTTTAAAATCGAAATTTTGTGTCCATCCTACGTGACATTGGCAAAGTAAAATGTGCTCAACTTGGATGCCATTAACAAAAGAATTGAATTGAAGATCGAAATAATTTCCCACATTAGCTTCATCATCACACAGTAACCAATTGAAATCATTAAAATAATATTTACATTTTTATACGACTTGTGATTTTTTTTATATCTTTGAAAGGCAGTTATAGCCCAGTGGTAACGCGCTCGGTTAGGAAACGGAGTGACTAGGGTTCAAATCGCGGTTCAAATCTCTGATATTTTCATATGCGAAATATTTCTAATGTGATTACATTTTGCCTTACGGTGAAAGAGAACATCGTGAGGAAACCTGCATGTCTGAGAGAACCTAGCAAGTTTTCGAAAGACTTGTGAAGTCCGCTCAGCACTTGGTCAGCGTGGTGGACTATGGCCCGATTCCCCTAGTATTGAAGGTAGGCCCGCGCCCAGCATTGGGACGCTAAAAAGGGCTGAATACATTTTTTAAAACAATCCAATAGCTATCATTATCTATTTAATGTCGTTAAGTAAAATAAAAATTCTTTATAGTATTTATCATAGGAATTACCTTTTCTGGATTTCATTTTCCTGTTCTTGCTATATTTCCACTGATGTTAAAATTAAAAAAAATAGTAAGTTTGTATGTAGAAAGTAACATGGAACTATTTTTCTATGTAAATTTTAAAGTATTAAGGAGCTATAGGTACATTACACAATCCCTAATGACACTCATCACATTCATTGACGTGTACCACCTATATACATACAGGTGGTTATATAGGACTCCTCGGCTAGAAAAGCCAGTACTACCCACTGAAACCGAACGGAACCTCCTCAATTTTAACTCCAACTTGTCCAACTCCAGTCTTGAGCTAATCTAGTATAACTATAGTTAGTTCTCATACTTAATATAAAAGTACCTATATCTCTATCTATTTGTGACATTTTCAACATAAATATATTAATTATTCTATTGATAATAACAACGATAATTGTCACTTGAAATAATGTTTGAAATAAACATGTAGGTACCTACTAATAATTTGTCGAGTACTTATATAGTTGCGGGGAAAGTCACGTTAAGGGAGGTGTATCGTATAACAATCTTCATCGTTCATAATAAGTCCGAGGTATGAAGTGTGATGGTAATAAAATCTAATAATTTATACAAATATTATGTACAATTGCCACTAAATTTATGTGTTGACGTTTTTAACCGATTTCAAAAAGGAGAAGGAATTTGGGTGTATTTATTATATGTTAGACTAGTATTGCCCGCGGTTCCGTCCGCGTTCAGATGACCAAAAACTAAATTTTTTGGTTTTACATATTAGTATACTCTTACATTACAGTTTTTGTATTTTTTCTCAGAAATTAGATATTTTCCCGCTGTAAAAAGTATCCTATATGTTGACCCGGATACCACATTTCATCAAAATCCCTCCAGTAGTTTTTCTGTGATGCGGTAACAGACAGATAGACAGACAAAAATTCTAAAAACTATAGATTCGGCCTCTGTATCGATAATAATGTCTATTGCAATAGAATTTTCCAAAAAATATTTAATGTACAGATTTGCCTTAGTTACAATTTTCTTATATGTATAGATGACTTTTTTCACAATTGTAAATCGTATTTCATCATTGTTTTTTTTTCTTTTCTTAATAATAGTTTATACCTCAAAGGCGGTATCGTATTCGTATATATTAAGATAACGAAATTCTACCCTTATATATGAATTGAATAATTTTAAATGATTTTTAAGTCAAGCATTAGTGATAGTAAATACAAAAATTAATTATGGAATGGATGAAAAGTGTTTCTTGTTGTAAACAACAGTGGTGTTTATATTATTTGGATATTGTGTTGTATGGACTTGTGTCGTTGCTGCTGGTTGGTCTGTTCGTGTATTACATGGTATACACCTAACGCGTAAATGTAAGTAACAGATTTAGTAATATTTTAAATGTAAAATTTTATTAGTAAATGTTTGTATGTTAGTTCTTCACGCTCAAATGGCTTAAAAGATTTGAGTAAAATTGGGTAATAAGATGGCTCATATGTTAAATATAATGGATGTCCAACATATCCATGTTGGATACATGGACCACAAATTAAACAAATAGGTATTTGTTTTCATCAAAACTAAACGAAAAGTCAGTAAAAACAAACTATTAATCATTTATTTTACCAAGTTATTAAACTGGTTATTGCTATACGAGTGTCTTAGTCAAAACAAGTTTAGATGTAGAGTCAGTTAAAAAAATGATAAATCGAAAAAGGTTTGATGCCTTCCCAGACAGACAAAAAAAATCTAAAAACTATAGATTCGGCCTCTGTATCGATAATAATGTCTATTTCAATAGGATTTGTAAAATAAATAAATTTATGTACATATTTGACTCAGATTTTTATTATATGTATAGTAACTAAATATATATTATATTTACTAGTGTATTATGTTATAAGAGAAATTAAAAAAAAAATATAATTTAGTACAAATCAAACAGAAGTGTTTGTTTAGAATAGAGATGGCAACTCTTGTTGCAAAAGGTCGAAAGAAGTTCTAATTTATATGTATATTCTATACAGTTTTAACTGCCTCGGTGGTGTAGTGTGGTGGTGCATGTACGGCTGCATACTCGGAGGTCCTGGGCTCGAGTCCTGGGTCGGGCCAAGTTTAGTTATTGAGTCTTTCTGTATAGTAAGTCTCAGTAACAGCCCGGAGTTGGGAAGTTGGCAGTGTTTCACCCCCGTGCCTCGGAGAACACGTAAAGCTGTCGGTCCTGCGCCTTAACTCTCACTGGTCGTGTCGAGCAGTCGTCCCACCGGAGTATGAGAGTGATAGGAATAGAGAGTGCACGTTGTGTCTGCGCGTACACTTGTGCACTATAATATCTCCTGCGCAGTTGGCTAGTCTCAATGAGATTGGCCGCCGTGGCCGGAATCGGCTAGGAAAACATCATCATGACATCATTAATTAACGTTTTGGCTCATTAATATTTTTAGTTGGCAATCTATCTAAGGAGATAGGTTATATAGGTAAAAACCTATACCTTGGTCAGTCAAAACCTACCCATTAACTAGACTACTTGGTTATTTAACAAAACTTGCCAAAATCCCATTCGTGCCGCTAGTTTAACATAAATATAATATATTATAAGATTTTAACCAAGGTCCTGAAACCATGTGACGTATTAACGTAAGAACAAGTTAATCTCAGAGATAATATCAATGTAAACAGTGAAGTGTACATAGAGTCGATTCACTGTATACTGCATAGTAGCTTAAGACTACGTATAAGATGCCTTGATACTTCGATATATATTTATAACTCTGTACCTCTCAGCGTTAGGATTTTAGATAAAATATATTTTCTTCAGCAAGTTCTTATTATCTAGTTTTTAACATATCTCTTATGCATTTGACGTTAGTAAAATAGCACAACTATTGCTGTAATCGTGAATCAAACACGTGACCTACGACTCAGTGCAACCTCACTGGACATCTCTAGATAAACATACACATACAATCTGTGTGAACAAGCTAATCACTGATAATAATCACAGTACACGGTAACACGTAATGTACACACATACGCGTAGAGTCAAAGCAGGTACAGAAATGTTGACTTATAAATGTAACAATTTTGTTGATAATTTGTGCTATTTAGTCGTTGGTAAGTTGTTTTATTAAAAATAAACTTGATGGTTTCGAATTATATATAATTTATCCTCTACCATTAAAATTTATTCTAAAATTGTCATTTGAAAATAATGATGTAACTACTTATTTGTGTTTTTAGTTTTTTGGGGGAAATCTGTATGATCAATAAAAATATTGATTGTGTTGACAGTACAGATATTATTTCCGCGTTATGCGAGTCAAAGACAGATAGACGGAGAAAATATTATATCTCCTATGTATAAATTGAGTTAGTTTACTTTTAGTTTTATAAGTTTAAAGCGGAACGACTGTCACCTAAAATACAGGCTCTGGCTTAGTTTAGGAGATAGTAGTTCAACTTATTTTTTGACACTTTTGTACCACTTGCTTTACTTACTTTAATCCCCTTATATTGTCACTTTAAATAGTACAATAAATAAATTATTAAATTATTATTATAAGTCAAAGTTTTAAGTATTAATAGTTAGGTAATACCTAAAATTTTGACTTATAAAACTTTTGTTTTTTTAAGTTCACATGTTTTGTTTTGGTTACGTCACTTTTTATTGATATACATATCAGGAATAAAATATCATCATCATTTAATATTGTATATGTATATTATTAGTGTGCTAAATAAATAGATATATAAATAAGTGGCAGTCCAATATATACATAAATATAAAAGCTAAACACCAACAAAGCACAGCGTAGAATTACAAAGTAATCTAGGAAAATATGTGATCGTTGATTAGCGATTGTCACATCAAATTAGCACATCTCAGATTTATCTTGACAGCGTCTGTTCAATCGACCGGAAGTTTTGTTGGGGCACTGCGCACTAGAATAAGTTTACGAGATGCTTTATATTAGTTACTTTTTATGCAATAAATAAACCAAATAAAGAACAACCCAAACTGTTATTATTCTACGTAGAACATTAAATAAAATATTGAAATATATAAATGTTGATTGTTTCAGTTGATTGTTTTAGGTTCGATTGTCTTCAAGGATGATTTTTTTATTGTTTACTATCCTCAAAAAATCTCTTTAACTCTTAAATAAATAAAAACTTACTCTAAAATTCTCTTTTCAGATGACGAGTGATGAAATAAAATCAAATGGCAAACCAAAACTACGATGTCGCAAAAGGACTCAATTCACCCGAAATACGATCGAACACCAACATACCGTACGTCGACGAATTTGTTGAACTGGAACATATTAGAGCTGACGAGACAATCCCTCCGAAACGCAATCGGGATGTAGAAAAAGGAAAAATAGAAGAAAAAAAACTTCATGCATCAGACTTAGGTGCAGTTCATTCCCCCAATAAAGATACTATTATTGTTGATACTCCCGAAGGAACCCTATACATAACTTTAGATCCAGACTCTTCTAAGTCATCTAAACCAACTAGTCCAAGTACACAGTCTACTGATGTATCCGACTTCTCACCTACAACATCAAAGGCAATCGGCGCGCGAGAGTCAGATAATTTAATAACAGTAGAGAAGGAGAAGGAAATGGAACAAAGGAGAGCTAGTTTGAGACGGAATTCTATATCGATGCCAACTCTTCCAAATTTGGAGTTGTTAAGACAAGGATATATGAGAAATACGCAAGATCAGGTAAGTTAGCTTTCAATTTAGCATTAATTTGTATGAATATATTAAAACGATAAAGATTAAAAATTATAATAAATCTATTCTAAATATTATAAACAGGAAAAAAATGGTTTTTTTTGTTTATGTGTTTGTTTGTATCGAATAGGCTCCGAAACTACTGAACCGAATTATATGAAATTTGGTAAGAAGATAGTTTGAAACCCTGGAAATGACATAGGATAGTTTTTATCCCAGAAATCATCCGTTAAAGGGGTAAAAGTGAGGGTAAAAGTTCGTATGGGGAAGCAACCTAGGGACGAACCCGAGCGAAACGAGGGTGAGTCCCTAGTACTCTATATTTCTTTCTATATTGGAATAATTATAAATATCGTAATAAAGCTATTATTTAGACAATGCTATAAAATATATGACTGATATTTACAACATATTAATATAAGCCAATATTAATTCGTTAAAATACATTTGCGGATGTTGATAACATATTATACGTTAAAATTCCTTGTTTGTTGTTAAGCTACAATATAGATATTCATTTAGATTTAATGACCTACTAATTTAGAAAATTATGAAAACCTATGAAATCTCTCAAATACATGGTCAAGAATTGTTTCTGTTAACATAATTGCGGTTTTATGATCATTAACCTCATTTTTAGACCTAATTACTTTACTATCTAATTTCTTTATTACCTTTAAGACATTTGTAGATTTTTGGTATTTGTAGGATCATATTCATGAATTTTATTTACTCAGTGACTGTCTGTCTATGACAAAATGATATCATAAATATGAGTGTGTGAGTTTATCTTCGTCAGTTTTTATCTAGCGAAATGATAGCAGCAAATTTGATAAATAAAAGAAATACACATTAGTCTTTCATTGTTGTCTTCACGGTACAATTGTACATATACCGTTATAATATTCTAAAGTTTATTTAACATTAGTTTCTTTATTAAATATATCAGTGACAGTGTATTGGAATCTTACTTCAATATTAAATTTTCTACTTTGCAAAATACATCCTTGAATGAGATAAGTGTTATCTAAAGACCTATGAATTCGAGTATACGTAAAAGAAAACATTTGTGAGCAAATTTGAAATAAGCCTTAAGCTTGTAGTTTAACAAACATAGCAATGAGAGTGCGAAAGAAGCCAGATCTCCGTTTAAATATACCTTCTTATCCCCACGATTACGTGGAAGTGCCTCCAGAGACCCGACGAACTCTTTCTGCGGCAATCACAACATCTAATTATATACCATACATAGATGATGATGATGATGATAATGGTACTCGACCCAAAATACACTTTAATTCAGAAAATCCAAGAAATGAGTTTCGATCAGAAACACCGGAAATTAAAATCACTGAAATGAAATCCAGTAGAGAGAAGGAAATATCAGTTTCACCACTAGTTAGTGGAAGCAGTTCACAATCTTATAATAGAGATTTTAAAAGAGCATCATTTTCAGTACCAGACCAGCTTAATAACTACAATGGGCGCCAATCAAATAATGTAAGTTTATCTAACGTATTGAAATACATTTTATTATTTCAATGTCTAAATGTTACATATATAATGAAATTTAAAACATATTTATATGTTTATATATGTACATATATATCCAAAACTACTAACACACTGACTGGCAATGCTGATTTTTTTCGGTGAAAAGGACTTCAGGCAGCTCTCTTGTTACCAGTAGAGGTGATATGATGAGTTTTCTCCACTTTAAGGAAGTTTCTAGCATTTCGCTCCATGGACCAAGATTTAAAAGGGTAGGTATAAAGGAATAATTTTGACTAAGTTGCTCTGCCACGGCTCTTACACTAGTCTGTCTCCCTGACATGAGACTGGGCTTATGTATCAACGGATGTAGTCGTCAATAAGACGTCCTCCTCTTCCCTCTTTCCTCCGGAACTAGCATCTCGGCTTATCCCAGATACCTTGATGTGGCGGGAGCCCTTTCGATGGTGACATTTATGAGAGCCACAGTGGAAAAGTCTACATAATTTTTTTACGCAAGTCCATGGAATCAATAAGAGTCTACCTCTTTTTCACGCGGACAGCTAAGTTTGGCGCGCATCGGTACTTAAGCGGAGGCCTAAAACCATACAGAAACAATTGTTACGAAGAATTATTCCTTAAATTTATATAAATAAGACACCACAAACATTATATAGCAGAAGTACACCACATTTTAGATTTTTTATTATTTTGTATCGTAACATTGAAGAAACATTCAAAACAATTCAAAAAAAATTATATAATTTTTTTTAGAATATTTAGGTCGTACCTGAAGAAAACAAACCAATTTCTTAGATTTTATCGCATATCAACACCTCAATTGATATTGGAACAATAAACAAAGAATTGTATAGATAACATCTATAGTAAATGTTGATAAAATTCAAGTATCTGCTTTTCAAATACTTAAGTATATATACATATGTATGTATAATAAACTTATAATGGGGTTATAAATAGTTATATTTTTTCCAAACTTTTTTCAAAACTAGTATTTATATACACCTCACCTAAACAAACAAAAAATATTACAAATGTAATCAGGGCCTTTACCCTCTTGGGGAAGATAATGATTTTTTGAGGGCAGGCCGGGGCCCCCTCCATCGCTGGTCCTGGGCACTTGCCCAGAGCGCCCGATGGAAAAGAGGACCCCTCTTTTCAATCTAATCTGAATATAGGTAGTGCCCCAAATTCTCACGTTTCCGACATATGTTCTGAAGATAAAGATTCAATTATTTATAATAAGAACTATTATAAATTAAGAATTATAAATATAGGACCTTAACACACAGTACCATCTAGTTCCATGACGAGCTACGAGGTTTGTGTTATGGATATGATACACTACACAAATTTAACTTTAAATATGTACATTGTACATACAATACGAGTAAACATATTATAAATATAAACACCCATGACTGGAGTACATACATTCGTGCTCATCACACAAATAAATGTCCCCAGCGGGACTCAAACCTGCGACCGCTGGCACAGCAAGTAGGATCAATATATTGAACCAATCGTGTCGTGCAATTGAACTAATAAAATATTTATATGGGTTAATAATAATATTCATATTTATATTTAAATAATATCAGATTATTTAACTGTTTATTAACGAAAGTAAAACTAGAAACAAAAGAAAAAAATAAATTAATTAATTAAATAAGGAATAAAACGCATCATAGTAGAACTATAATAGTTTACAGTTTTAAGCTTTTTTTTGTTCTTTAAGTTCTGAACTCTCCTTTGACTCTTAAGTATTCCATGCGCGTCTTTAGGAAATCGCGATAAAATTCCTTCCTAAGTTCTATAATTTAAATGGTATACAATATAACATATTATGTAAATCAGTTTAGTGGTTATCAAGTTTAAATCGTAAACCAACAAACAGTCAGACAAACATTGTGATACAATGAACATTAAAGCAGATGCCATCCAGTAATAAGATAATATAAGTGAAGAGTATAATGCCAATAAAATATATTATAACAATATCGATGAATAATGATAAAAGTAATTGTTAAATCAATTAATAAGTGGCTTGTGGTCTTAATATAAATATAAATTAAGATATGGCGTCGGAAACTAATTTACATTTTTCCATAGTTTAATAGTTAGTTTTAATAAAACTAAAATTATTGATAATCGTGACAGGTTCTAGTTCAGTTGCCAAGTTATTTCTCTTTATAATATCAGTATGTTATACCTATTACCTACGTGGGTGGTGTAGTGGCTAGCATGTACGACTGCACCGAAGGTCCTGGGTTCGAGTCCCGGGTCTAGTCAAGTTTAGTTATTGAGTTTTTCTGTTTTCTAAATTTAATAACAGTGGAAACTTGGCGGTGTTACATTCCCATGCCTCGTAGAGCACGTAAAGCAGTCGCTTTTGCACCTTAACTCTCACTGATCGTGTCGAGTAGTCGTCCCATCCAACTTTGAAAGTAAAAAGGAATAGAGAGTGCACGTTGTGTCTGCGCGTACACTTGTGCACTATAATATCTCCTGCGCAGTTGGCTAGTCTCAATGAGTTTGGCCGCTGTGGCCGAAATTGGCCAGGAGGAGGGCAGTTCACATTAATATATCTTAAATTATTGATGATAGTGACAAGTTCTACTTCAGTTACAATGCTCCTACTAAACTAACTAGCAGAAACCGCGGTTACGCTCGCGCTCTAAGTACAAAAAAAACAAACTCTTCTTTCTCCTTCCCCGTACGATGTAAGTGTGTTCGATTTGTTGACATTTATGATTACTGTAGGGTAGCCTTTGTACTCTTAGTTAGTAGCGTGATGATTATAGCCTATAGCCTTCATCGAGAAACGGGCTATCTAATGGAAAAAGAATTTTTTAAATTGAATTAGTAGTTCCTGAGATTAGCGCGTTCAAACAAACAAACTCTGTCTCCTTTTATAATATTAGTATAGATAACGTAATATCCTATAATAATATTCCATAAAAAACAATTGATTGATACGAGTTTAAATTTAAATGACCATCGTAAGTACGAGACGAATATGCGATACTTGCTTTAAGGCGGTTAACAAAATTGACCGACCACATCCTCCCGACACCCGAGGGACGCGCAATTTCGATATATTTAAGATTCGATATTATATATTCGATATAATTTATTCTCATACAATGTTAAAATTAAGTAGATTATTTAAAAAAATTGTAAAATATAGTACGACCACTGTCAAAAGGGAGGGTATTCAAAAACTTACGTATGTCTCAAAATAAAATATAAAATTAAATAGTATACAAGAAATAATACTTGTTACATGGCCAATGACCATATATGGTCATGGCCTTAGAATTTACATACAAATATTATAAGCGTTTATTGTAGTTTTAACTTCCTGTGACTTTAACATATTATACAACAAACATATAATTTTATATTTTAAAAATATTCATTAGATGTAATATTAGGGAGACTCTTTAAAATTTAATTAAGCGAGTAAAAATTTA